TTTGTGCGTTGGCGCGGGGACTTCAACTGCATTGCAGGCGTTGTTTGGGCAGCAGTAATGATGGGTATTCTTCCAAGCATGAACTGGCGTAATCTGAACCGTATCTTCAACGATGCTTGCCCTTTCTGAACCTGACTCCATCCACGTCTTTCTCTTTCCACCCTGTCGTGTCACCCTCCTTGTCATCGTCCTCGCCCAATACCCATGTCTTGACAATCTCCTTGATCTCCGGTTTCTTCTTTTCTAAGCGTTTCGCTTCCTGCACCTTCCTCACATACCCACTGTATACAGCTACCTCGGCAACTGCAATACCCAACGATCCTCCCATGCTCAGTCCTAGTCTACTGCCTACACTCCAGTGTCGCGCTGCTACCCATATGAAGACCGCTACACACACAACCGAGACCAAGATGTTTATGATGAGGATGATCTGCCGATGCACTTCCTCATATGATAGTTCGTCTTCCTCGCTAGTAGTCTGTGTTACTCCTATCGAGAATGGTTCTGGGGCGCGGGGGAAGCGCTGCGAGAAGGATTCGCGCGTTGGTGGTGGGTGTAGCATGCGTTCATAAGAGAGGGCTTCTTGCTCGGCGCGCAGACGGGCCATCAGGGCGTGGTATTCGGGGGTTTGCGTGGGTTTGGGGGCAGGCGGTGGAACGTATATTGTTGTGTTGTGCAGGAGGGCCGCGAGGGTCGTTGGTGTGGGTTCTGTAATGTCTTCTGTGGTCTCTGGGGCGTCTTTGGTGTCTTTATCGACATGCTTCTTCAGCAGCTTTGACAGGTCGATCAACTGGCTGTGGGAGATGGGATTCCCGACTTTGGGCTCCGCAAGCGAGGGCTCGTCGACGTGCTGGAGTTTCTCGTAATCGTCGGCGGATACTTCTTTGGCTTTCGCGACTGCCCGGACGATACCGGGAGTCATAGTAAGCAGGACCATGGCTGTGTGGAGTGTGTTGTGTAGACGGTAAGAAACAGCGTCACAGGCACGCGGCATAGACGACGCGACAGGGATGTGCGGCGACCGAGGGGAGCTAGCGTTCGGAACGTCATGGATATTTTAACTTCCTCCAAATCTAGCCGATAGCTGCGGGCGAACATATCACTAGCCCACTTCACCACCACCACCCACTCTGTGTGTTTCTGAGACGCTGCTCCAACCCCTCAATTGCACCGTCTCTGCCCGTTTCAGACAAAGTTTCACGGCCCAACCCCCCATGACGAGCCGCACACCCCGGCTCGCGACGTCCATCGCGCGACAGCAAACTTCGTCACTATCGCACATGTCAACATGTCCCTACCGTAACGCCGCCCTCGCCCGCTCAATACACACGCAGAAAAATGCGACACCAAGCCTCCACCACCCCTCGCGGCGGCGAAACCAGTCGTCCTGGGCCGCCGCCGCCCACGTAGCGCAAAACGTCATGTCGTCGCCGCCACCCGATGCGCCCATCAAGATGGACCCCTTCCAAACCGTCGCCCGCGAAATGAAGTTCCTCACCGGAAACATACGATCCCTACTCGGATCCGGGCACCCCACCCTCGACACCGTCGCAAAGTACTACACCCAGAGCGAAGGAAAATACGTGCGCCCCATGCTCGTCCTGCTCATGAGCCGAGCCACAGCCCTCACACCACGGAGTTCAAGACGAGACCTCGGAATCGGGAGTCAAAGCGCGGATATTTCGATTACCAATCCACGGATCCTGGCAGATGAGAACCCAGATCAAAGTCCTATTAGCAGTATAAGACATGACTCTGCGTATACGGCTGAAGACAGCGATATCCTCCCTTCCCAACGCCGGCTCGCAGAGATTACAGAATTGATTCACACGGCTAGTTTACTCCACGACGACGTAATCGACCACTCCGTCTCCCGCCGCGCCGCACCCAGCGCGAACATCGAGTTCGGCAATAAAATGGCCGTCCTGGCGGGCGATTTCCTGCTTGGCCGTGCCTCCGTCGCACTCGCCCGTCTCCGCGACCCAGAAGTCACAGAACTCCTCGCAACCGTCATCGCAAACCTCGTCGAGGGCGAGTTCATGCAGCTCAAAAACACGGCTCGCGATGAGAAGAACCCCAGTTGGACAGAAGACACTGTAGCATACTACCTCCAAAAAACATACCTCAAATCCGCCTCCCTCATCTCAAAGAGCTGTCGCGCCGCCGCTATCCTGGGTGGCTCGAGTCCCGAGGTCGTGGAGGCGGCGTATCTGTATGGAAAGAACCTGGGTCTTGCATTCCAGCTTGTAGATGATATGCTGGATTACACGGTTAGCGAGGCGGAGCTGGGGAAGCCGGCGGGTGCGGATTTGGAATTGGGACTTGCGACTGCGCCGTTGTTGTTTGCGTGGAAGGAGGAGAGTAGTTTGGGGAAATTGGTGGGGAGGAAGTTTTCTGAGGAGGGGGATGTTCAGAGGGTAAGTCTTGAAGATGTCCATTGCCAGAGAAGGTATGGCGACGAGTTTGAATGTTATGCTAACGATATGACGCAGGCCCGCGAGATCGTCTCGCAAAGTTCTGGTCTAGAGCAGACCCGCGCTCTTGCACAAGATTACGTCGACAAGGCCATCGAGGCTATCTCCTTCTTCCCCGAAAGTGAAGCCAAGACCGGATTGGTGGATATGTGCACCAAGGTCATGAAGAGGAGAAAGTGAAACAAAGACTCGGAATCATATAAACGACACTCATCCAAAAGCAGCATCTTAGTTTGAGCCATTTGCAGAATATCTGTATGAGTACCATTCGCAGGTCGATATATGGCGCGGCATGTCTCAATAAGAGGGCAACCTTCCAGGATCTGACGAACAATGGTGGTCATGTTTCACGCATCGATGGTACTGGGAGTGCTGCACTACGATGCGGCAACTTTGCTGACGCGGTGTCTACTCGTTTCACGATCGATGCCTGGCGGAGATAACACTCTACTTCTGTATATATACATGTTTACGAAATACTAGAGAGGGCATAGTCAGGGATTCTCCATTGGGAGTCCAAACATATGTTTATATATCGTTTTCGAACGGCCGTACGACCTGTCCCTTTTCTTGCAGGTGGTCTTTGACTTGTTTGACTGTGTATTCGCCTCTGTGGAACTGTCAAGTTGTTAGTCATTATATCCATGTTCGGAATGAAAGTAAGAATGGATACTCACCATTCCAGCACCCAACGCAGCATCCGTCTTCGTCTTGGCAAACACCTCTTCGAAATGACCGGGGTGTCCTGCGCCACTACTCGCGATAACAGGGATCTTAATCGCGTCCTTGACGTCGTTGATGAGCTCCGTGTCGAATCCGCTGTTGCTTCCGTCTTTGTCGATGCAGTTTAACAGGATCTCTCCTGCGCCCATGGCTTCGACTGCGGTGACGAGTTGGCGGACGTCGAAGTCGCGGCCTTCGCGTCCGCCCTTGATGGTGCATTGGTACCAGCAGTATTCCTCGCCGTTGGGACCTGGAGTTGTGGTTTTGATTGTGTGGTGGGGTGTTGCGTCGGGCGAGGAGACGTATACGCGCTTGGGGTCTACGCTGATGACGACGGCTTGTCTGCCATAGGCAGATGAGATGGTTTCTATGGCTGTGGTGCCGGAGAGTTTGCTGCCTCGCGCGTAGTATTCTTCCGCTGCAGTAACGGCATCGGAGCCTATGCTTACTTTGTCTGCACCGGACTTGAAGTACATAGTCGCAATATCAAGAGCCGAGATCTTGCTTCCGTCTGTATCTACCGTGTCGCGTATGCCTCCGCCGATTGTCAGAGGCACGAAGACGGTTTCGCTGGTTCGGCGCAGGATCTCGAGCATGGGTGTGTCGGCTACGGGGCAGTTGCGGAAGGATGTGATGTTCAGGAAGGTGACCTCGTCGGCGCCTTGTTCGTAGTATTTCTTTGCCATTTCGACGGGCTTGCCTAGGTTGCGCACTCCGCCGCCGGCTCCTTCCTTTTCGCGGACATCGTATTGGTCGCCTTTTGTTACTACGAGATCGCCTTGGTCGTTGGTTCGGACGTCGAGACAGGCGATGACGCGTCTTGTTAGGCCTTCTCTTGTGTCGGCTGCTGATGGCTTCTCGGGTAGCTTTTGTGACATGTTGCCATCCAACCAAGCTTTTAGGACGCGTAGACCTGCTGCGCCGCTCTTCTCAGGGTGGAACTGTGTGGCGAAGATGTTTCCCTTTGCGACTGCGCCGATGAACTCCTCGTCGCCGTACCGTGCTGTAGCGACTGCCCAGCCATCCTTCTCCAGCAGGCCCTCCTCATATATCGCGGCGTAAGAGTGAACGTAGTAGTACTTGGACGTTGGTCGCAGCCCGTACAATGAGTCATCCGTAACTTCTCCGGTGCGCGATGTGTTTGCGCTATTCCACCCGATGTGCGGTACACTCTTGTCTGCGTCCTTGAACTTCCGTAGTCGCATAGGAATGACGCCCAGTCCCTTGACATCAGGACTCTCCTCCGAGCCTTCGAACAATGCCTGAACACCGACGCATATTCCCATGAAAGGTTTCCCCGCCCTGATGTGTTCGCGGATGGGTTCGACGTAGCCGGCTTTCTCTAGCTGGGACATGCAGTGGCCGAAGTGGCCGACGCCGGGAATGATGAGTTTCTAGGGGCGATGCTGCATCAGCACTTGTCAATTGTTGCGCGCGTCTTGGTGAGAGGGCGGTGGTACCTCGGCAGAGGGCACGTCCGCGGGCGTCTTGACCCATTCGACGGTGTAGCCAACCTTCTCGATGGCATTGACGAGGGAGCGGACGTTGCCGGCGACGTAGTCGAGCAAGTGAACTGTCGGCATATTCGTGGATGCGTTCAGAGGAATGACTGTAGGATGTTTGACTCGAAGAGTGAAAAGTAATTTGGATGCACCCCACGCGTCATTGGAGGGGCAGTCGCGCTACTGCTAGCGCCCGCTGCACCCCTGTCAAATAATTCTTTGGATCTTCATCGTCGTCGCGAAGCCATCGCAAGCACTCACGACCCACCACCCACGACAATCCCATTACAACCTCGTCAATATGGTGCGCAAACTCAAGCATCATGAGCAGAAGCTCTTGAAGAAGGTATGAACCACCTGCTCCACTCCACCACCGTTGCGCATCGCCGTCGGGACCGCCGCGCGAACAGCCGCTATTCTCGCCATGCCCAGCGGCGCCCTCTCCTGTACATGGAGAGATAACGACTTATTAAGAGGCACTAACACTTTTGACAGGTCGACTTCAACACCTACAAAAGCGATAATGACCACCGAGAAGCCGCCGTCATGCGCCGCTACGCAATCCAGGGACGCGACGACTACCGCAAATACAATCAGCTCGCCGGCTCTTTGCGACAACTCGCACACAGAATTGCCAACCTCGATCCATCAGATCCCTTCCGCGCCAAGCAAGAGGACCTGATACTGGAGAAGCTGTTCTCGATGGGCTTGCTGGGAACCGGTGGCGGCGGCCGTGGAAAACTATCTGACGTCGAGCACAAGCTCACAGTGAGCGCATTCGCACGGAGGAGATTGCCAGTCGTCATGACCCGGCTACGCATGGCAGATCATGTACAATCAGCTGTTACACTCGTCGAACAAGGGGCAAGTACACTGGACTCCGGATATGATCTCTTTAGAAGTCATCTCTCCAGACACAGCTAGGGGCTAACAAACACACAGCACGTAAGAGTTGGAACCGATGTCATCACAGACCCAGCCTACCTGGTCTCGAGGAATATGGAAGACTTCGTCACATGGGTTGACTCCTCCAAGATTAAGCGCAACATCATGAAGTACCGCGACAAGCTGGACGACTTCGAACTCGAGGCCCTATGAGGTTTTACTTTCTTCTTTTTCAGCGGCGTTTGTGGATACAGCATTTGAAGGCGTTACGACATACTGGCGATATCCGGCTATGGCAAAAATTTGATCTTTGTTCTTCCACTTATAACTACCATCGCAATTCAAGTACGCAGCGTATCAGACGATACCATGTCTCATCCTACGAGAACGAGCGAATGCGATCACATGCCCGTGCTCAAGGGCGTTCGAATACGAGACCAGAGATTGGAAGAGATGCATTGGATGAATGGCACACCGGACGCTCTGGGGACACTAAAACTCCCACAGCAGTGCGATCTCCAGTGCGTAATCCTCCGCTGACTGTTACGCACACAGGACAACGATAGCCAACACCGGGTATACTAAGTCGGCATTGGCTATGTTTTTCCGACTGAAGGAGCCGTGACCAATCATGTTCCCTCACTGACGCCATACGACATGCCGTTCTTTACCAAAACCGGCAATAACAGTGCTTATGCTCATATCGGTACAACGCCCTCAAGTGGACTAGAATTTTGAGTTGGTTGCATGTGCATAAGTGCCATGTCGCTATCTCCACGCATGGGTGGGGATGTTTGGGTGAATTCTGGGGTCGCTGACGGATCACACTAGGGAACAGCGGGACGGTATTTATGACAGTGCTGATCCTCCAGCTCTGGATTCGGATATTTTCAGTACTTCGTACTAATCTTCTCCATTGTCGCTTGCTACGCTATGGCTGCGAAAGGAGACCGCGAGCCCTCGGTGGCACACATCGAAGCGCTCGAGCACAGCACGAATACATCGGATCACGACAACTACGTCCACAGCAATGATGCCAACGAAGAGATCGTCCGCCATCTACAAACCACCGGTGAAGATGTTGGCATGACCTGTGCGTAATGCCCGACATCCGGACTGGCCTCCAGTCATATCTAACTTATTCCAGTTCGCACATTGATGGCCGCCGTGTCCATGGCCATGTGCTACAACGCCTACCTCTTTACCCTCCTCATCCCACCAGCGATTCTCACGTACATCAATGCCGATCTTGGTCCGGATCCTAGATACACCTGGATCACGATTTCGTGGAACCTTGGTGGCGCGATGTTTGTCACTGTTGGTGGTCGACTTTCAGACATTTTTGGCAGGCGATGGTTCTTCATTGCTGGAGCTATCATTCTCATCATCGGCAGTATCGTTTCAGCAACCGGACAAAGCATCAACCAGATGATAGCCGGTGGTGCCTTGTTTGGCTGCGGTTCCGGCTTCCTGGAGATGGCCTTTGGTGCTGTCCAAGAAATCGTCCCGAGCAAATATCGCCATGTTACTATTGGACTATTCGACGCTGCTTCGATCATAGCACAGATCATGCCGCTGGTCAGTTGGGTCATCATCAAGCAGACTGGCAACTGGCGCATTTGCTACTATGTCATGATAGGCTTCCAGGCTATCAACCTTACCCTTCTGTTCTTCTTCTACCACCCACCATCCTGGAAAGACAAGAAGGCTGAACATGGCAAGACTGCTGGACAGTTGTTACGCGAATTCGACTGGTTGGGACTATTTCTATTCCTGGCCGGGTGTACACTATTCATCGTCGGTGTCAGCTGGGGTGGATCACAAGCTCCCTGGGTTTCTGCGACAGTGCTCGCACCTATCATCATAGGACTGGTGACCTTGATCGGTCTGGGATTCTACGAGGCCTACTATAATCTAAGAGCACCACTGTTCCCGCCACGTCTCTTCAGAGCATTACGCCACTTCACTGTTCCTATGCTAGTCATGGCCATAGGCGGGTATGTTGATCCACTCGATTATATGGCTTATGCTAATAGATTACAGAATGCAATACTACTCGAACGCAACCTTGTGGCCACGCCTATCTCAACTCATTTACGCTACCGACGAGATATCCAAAGGTTTATACGCCGAAGTCCTGCCTCTCGGAACCATCATTGGTGGCATCATCGTGGCTTTCAGCAAGGTCATCGGACACCAACGTTGGGTCATCATGTTCGCCGTCGCCCTACAGACAGCTTGTGTCGGTGCCATGTCTACCTCCACAATGGACAATCCCGTCAAATCAATCATTTTAACAGTCATCATCTCGACATGTACCTCTGTCAACCTTTTGAACGGCATGGTCTTGGTAGGCTTCGGAATCGTATATCAGGAAGACATTGGTACTGCAGCTGGTCTTGCTGGAACCTCTCGTCTACTTGCTGGCGCTGTCGCTACCGCCATCTTTGGAAACGTTACGAATAACAAGTACGGAGACGCCTTACCTGCGCGCGTTCGTGCTAATCTTGCCCCCTTCAATCTCTCCTCGGATATCGTCACTAGGTTGATCACCGCGGCGAGAGCGAACACAGCTGCCGGGTACCAAGCTATCCCAGGTATAACTCCTGCTATTCGAGCTGCAGCCAGTTTAGGGAATAAGCAAGCATACTTGGAGGGTGCGCATTTGTCGTATCTAGTGGCCTTGGCGTTTGGTCTGCTGGGAGTGGTCGCTGCTTTCTTCATTCCGTCGGTAGACAAAAGAAAGTACACCAGTAAGACCGTTGCTGTACAGAGACGCGACAGGAAAGAGTTGCAGGAAAAGAAGGTCGCGGGAACTGTAGGGCCATGAGTTCGTTTGCTCGTCGAGCTGCGTCCTTGTGAAAAGTTTTACATCAGCAATTACATGCGAGTATTACCGCACCATCTACATAACATCAGTGTCGCTTTCAAAAGACACGATCCCATGCTCAATCTTTCTTCTCGCTCGCATTTGCACCAATCTCCACATCCGTCTTCGCCCAGTATTTGCTAAGATCTCCAACAGGCGGACATACAGACCAGCGCATCTCTGCAGCCATAATGACGAAGAGCATGTACCAGCCCAGAAGGCCTACTATGAACAAGAGCGCTCCACCAGCCTGTACGCATCAGTAATGACCCCTCAAAAGCGCCAGAGTAACTCACCTTCTGCAACCTCCCCGCCCTCTCAAAGTCCCCCGTACTCAACGCCCAGTACGCTCCACTCAACACCCAAGCCCCGACCGTCACAAACCCGAAGATACCCGCAAAAACCACATTAATCCTAATCGTAAACAGCCAAAACGTTGCTAGCGCAAAACCCCAAACAAGCAAATACAACGCAATCACCGCGTTCATCTCCTTGCTCACCGTTCCTGTCGCTGCGTCGCCGGTGGGGGAGTAGGCGGCGGCGAGACCGAGGGTGGGCAGTTGCAACATGCCGAAGGAGAGCCAGAAGACGGCGAAGAGACCGCAGACCATCATGGGGAAGAATTGGGATTGGATCCAGAGGAAGATTGTGGAGAGGGTTAGGAGGAGGGGGCCTGTGAAGAAGAATATGCCGCTGGAGGGGGAGGGTTAGTTCGGGGTGGATGTGAAGGGAGAAGGGGGGGATGGGATGATGGGAGGATGGGAGGATAGGATGATGGGAGGATGGGATGGGAAGGGGAGAGGGAAGGGGAGAGGGAGGGAGGACGTACACAACTGCTTGCATTCCAGCGGCACCGCCCCAGCCCATTAGTACCATGGAGAACGTGAAGGTTGAGATGACGAATCTGCTGTGTTTAGTATCGACACCGAGCGAACCTTAAGGAGTTTCTTACCCCAGGAAGCCCAAAGGTGTCGCATTTGCATATTTTCCGACGTTCTCGTTTGCATGTGGTGTCTTCGGCGCGAGATACAGTTTTTCGAAGAGCTCTGGGCTGATCGATATGTTTGTTGATGTGTGAGCAAGATGTGGCTCTTTGTCAATGCGATCGGAGTCTGTGCTGTGCGAGGTCACTGTTGTCGTCGCCATATTTGGGTGGAGTGGCTATGTTCGCAGTAGTAGGGTAGGTGATGCAGAGGGAGGTAGTATAGTCGTATAGTAGCAGTACAGTAACCATGCAGCACAAGCATCGATTCAGGGTACACTATGCTTATCAACTCGAGAGCTTCCCTGTCCGCCATCGCTCACCACATCTCCTCCACATGCACATGCACAGTGGGGTACACGACCTCGAACGCCCTCTTCTCGGTCAACCACTCATCCATCTCACTCCGCGTCTTCCAAGCCGCCCGTCTCGGTCTCCGTGTACACAATCCTCTCCTCCCGTTCGTCAAATACCGCCGCCACGGCTCGGTCGATACTCAGCTATATCCCAACTGGCTGGATATATATCACGATTACGCCGAAAAGCCTCCTTCGCTACAGCTTGCCTTTGAGAACATAAAAACGATGGTCAGCATGTTGAATGCGGTGGTGGAGGTCGGGTGTTCCCCGCTCGCTACCCTTGTGCTGGGCTTACCCGGCAATTTCAAAGACGATGGTGATTGGCTGGGATGGGACGGGAAGGTCTTGGGTGTGGTCAGCGGGGACTGGGGTGTTGTGCGATGGCCGGATGGAGATTGGTGGGGTGATCTGGGGGTGGGGATCGAGTTGTGATGGGACGCGATGTGATGCGATGAGGGTTTGGGATTGAGGTGGGTGGAGTGAGGGTTTATCAACACATGTCTCATTTGATATCGCAACTTGAAAAAACGGCGATACTAGATGCACAAAAAGAACAGTGAGATGAGTAAATTGCTCTACGTAGGGGCATGAAGGACTCTCAGTGAACCGTGACAGCGAAACGTGTTGCTAGGAGCTCCAGGCTGGCCACCATGAGGGCCCGCGAGTCAACGCCCTCACGTTCCTATCCATTTGTATCTTTGCGTCCTCGCGTCCCATAGCAAACATGCGTTGCCAGGTTGCCTTGGTCTGCTTAAGCTCTTCGATTTCTTTCGCTTGCTCGCGTCGCATCGCACGTTCAAGTTCTTGCACCTCTTCGCGTTTCTTTGCCTCGTCGCGCTCCTTCACCTCCTCACGTTCCTTTGCCTCCGACCGTGCCTTAGCCTCGATCTTCGCTTTGGCCTCTGCATTCTTTTGAGCCTTGGTCTCTGCCTTCTTTCGAGACTTGGCCTCTGCCTTCTCTTTTTGTTGTTGTTCATTATCTACCTTAGCCTGACAGTATCTGCGGTAGTGCTCCCCAAGTCTAGGCATGACACCGAATTCATATCCCCAGCTCCACATCCATTTACAGAATCCAACCATATTTTCCAAATGCCCAGCTTGAGAGGTCGCCAGCAGCGCTGAAAGCCTCATTTGCTGGAGAGGAAGAATGTCAGCATCCACTATTGTCCCTTCTCTTCGGAACCTGGAGTCATAGGGTATCATGATGGTGTTGAGCATATCGACATAGGCGCCTGTGGGTGGGGTGTAGTTGCTGTACATCTGTACGTTGAGTACTTGTTTGGGGTATAGCTCGTGTCCCCATAGAGACGGTGGAGAATCTCTTAGTGGATACTTGACGATGGGAACGCTTCGATTCATGACAGAAGGACCCTTCTTGCTCAAGCCCTTTCCGCCTGACGTGTTGATGAGCAAGCCTAACATGCAATCGCGAAGCTTCTCCACTATGATCAGTGGATAGTTCTTTGCGCAGATGTACCCGAACTCAGTGTGAATGTCAGACGGAGACTCGACCATAGAGGGGCGCAAGACTGGGAACCAGCCAATGTCGCCGACTTCGAATTTACGTCGCTTAATGCGTTCGACGTCTTGGAAACTCTTCTGCGGTGAGCATATCTGGATACTCGAAAACTGCTGGTCCAATTTGACGACGGCTGTCACACTTTTGGGTGCAGGAATTGCTGTTCCGGACATAGTGTCCACTTCGATGTCGGTTCCTTTCGCTTCCAAGATAGAGGCTATGTCTTTGACGCTGACTTGAGCGGCAGTTATCGTGACGGGTGCAGGGATGGGGAAATACTTTCCAACACCAGGTATAGCGAGATCACTTTTGACGGCACGGTTCATGGCGACTGTTGCTAGGTAGGCGGCTTCGAAGGAGTTTAAAAGCTCAGTTTCAGACGCGCGGATCTTGTGCACGTAGTCTTCGATGGCGGTTGTGAGACCCTTCACTCCAACGTCGTCCCCCGTGTTTTCTGTCGATTTATTGAAGTCGGCTTGCAATCGTTCTTTCCCATGCTCCATCTCTTCAAGTTCGTGCTTTAGACTTTTGTGGGTGTCTTGTATTTGGCAGACGTTTAGCTGGCGGTCGACGGCGGCTTGCCAGGCCTTTGTTTCTGTGGTAGCAATTTGTGCCAAATCGGTAATGGAGATGACTAGTACTTCATGATGACTGGAAAGACGCTCAGTGTAGACTTCCGTCATTATTTTCGTAACAACTTCCTCGGCAAGCTTTGATTTGTGTGTCTCGAGATTGTCCTTGTGCTGCTGGAGTCTGACCTTCATTATTGATACCCACGCTTGTGTCTCTGTGTCGCTGAGTCGTGCGACCGCGGCTTCGTACTCCGCGACAGTTACCAGCGTGCGCCTAACCTTTTGCTTTGAATCACTTTTCTTGACAGGGCCTGCCATACTGTAGTCGTGCGCGGGAATGACGCGGGCACTCGGTTGATCGGAGACGCGTTCGTGAATGATAGGTAAAAGGATTCGTTGAAGTGATCGAGAGGGAAGCGATGCGACGGTAACTGTATATCTTTCGAAGAAATTGTGTCGGAGTAGTAGAAGATTAGGTGAGCGCAGTTGATGCGACGCGGGGAAACATTCGTTCAAATGGGGTCTCGCTTCTCGAAGTCGCCTTCACCTCCGCAATAGGCAACCGCGATTCCATCGCTATTCGGCGGCCATAAATCGAAATTTCAGTGAGCACAATGAGTCAAGCAATGCCACCCACACCAACACGGTCAGCCCGCTCTCGTCTCTCACCTCCCCTCCCTCACCCTCTCACACCACCTCCCTCCTACAAACACCCCTCAATAGCCCTCCTAACCTCCTTCGGCTTCGCCCCCGTAACCCCCTCCATAATATCCCCATCCTTAAACACACTAAACGACGGCATACTCCTAACCCCCAGCTCCTGCGCAATATCCTCACACTCCTCCACATCATACGTGTAAAACTTGACATTCGGGTACTCAGCCACCATCTTTGCGACTTCAGGGGCGACGATGTGGCAGTTCTTGCACCAGGTGGCTGTGCCTTCGAGGATGGTGACGCCTTCGTACATGACGGCTTTGAGGTACTCGGCTTTGGTGTGGAGGGTTGGTATGGAGGGGGTGGTGGAGGGGGTTGAGGATGTCATGATTGGGGAGTGTGAGGTGGTACCTGGGGAGGTATGAGATGGGAGGTCGAGTCAAGATGGATGTTTGGTGTTGTTGATGGATGTTTGGTGAGGCTGCAGGGCTGGGGTGGAGATGTGTGGGGAAGGAGACGATGATGTTGATGACGTCATCGCTTTCCGCGTGGAAAGAACGCCGACGCGATGGTCCATCGTCTCGTCCTCGTGCCGCTTTTTACGCATGCGATAGCCGACTATGAGCTTCGATTCCTTAGTTGCGCCTGAAAGCATACTTGTACAGTACGATGGAACACACGAATAAGCTGTACATCACTCATGCAGCATTCAGGCGCGCGCATCATTGATGTTGAAAGACATTATATTCTCATTTCAATATGGTATCATAACTTCATCTCTCCCCAAACAAGGCAATAGAGAGTTCCCTACTCGCCCTTACCCTGCTTTCCATAGAAAGCGTCCTCACCACCAAGTGCCTTGAGTGCCTCAGCAGACTTCTTCTTGGACTCCTCGCTAGTGTCTGCATCACGCGTTAGTCTCTCATCTCATCAAACACGCAGCTAGGTATCTCAGGGAATGCGTACTGGGGTTGCTCAAGTTGGCCTTGTGTCCCGAAGCCTTGTTGCTGATATCCTCGGTGGTGTTGTTGATATTCTGGTCCGCCTCGCTGAGACCGGGGGCGGTGATGCCCTGGTGAGAAACTCCTTGTCCAGACATGTTCGATGTGGGTGTGATGTAGAGTTTGATTTGGTCGTGGGTGGTTCAGGTAGATAGATTTGGTATGTGATGAGTGGTTGATGATGGATAGCCTTTCATAGATACCAGCACCCAGCCTTATATACCCATGACATACACACAACCAACCTGCTGCAGTACCTCCACATTACGTCTTCAGCGTCATCTGTCCGCTGGACCACCTATGTCATACCTGTCTTGGCATGAACCTATCTTCTCCACCCAACCCAGGTACAGCCGTGCCGGCGTAGCCACCAGTATACGCTAGGGGAGCCGAGACCCGATCGTGTGTGGTATCTGTCTCATCCCACCAACGTACCCATAGTTTGCGATATTGAATAGAGCGAAAACCTGTTATCGGTGTTTGCACTTGTTGTGCAGATGTGGGAGTGTAATGACCGCATCGCGTGGTGGTTGTCGATCATCGTAAAGGGTGGTCGGGAGAAACGGCTCTATCGGCCCTTCTCGATGGCAAGGCGCAGGCGCGTCACGATGCCACTCGGAACATCAACCATTGCTATTGCTGATTTCAAGCATGAGTTTTGGGTAAGGGTATTCCTGTCGTATTACATGCGGTACTTAAGTCCGTGTTTCTATCGTCAAGTCAACGTCTGGTCTCCGTTCTATTCATCTACATCAAACCTATCGCAATCATACCGTATACCAAAGTACCATCTCAATGACCTGCCCGAAGGACAAGACCGCAGTCTGAGTCGAAGGCGCACCCTATTCATTATGTCCATCTACCGGGGAAGAACAACGATTACCTAGGTATGAAGGAGCAGGGATTGCGACTTGTGCCCGACTAACAAACATTTTACGAGGTTCATTGTGACACCCCTTCAAAGAAAGATATTAGGTATAAGATGTAGCTAACAGGCTGTCGCAAACATTTCACGCAACGCAGGCTTCCAATGCCCATACCTACTCGTAACCGAATCACCTTGTCACACAGCCCCCCTCAAGGGGCTTCAATCCCGACTAGAAGAGCATCACGAAGCCTTAGCAAGTACAGAAAAACATGCCGTGAAATTTCGTGCGATTGCAACACCTCTAATATCGTAACTTATCTCGCTTCCCTCTCACACCAATCCATTCTTCTTCTTACTCCATCAATCCTCTATCTTACAACTCACCATGCCCCTCCCTCTCACTCTCAGCATCCTTCACCACCTTCTCCCTCCTCTGCTCCTCCTCCTGCACATCCACCACCCCCTCCCCCTCCCCCGCCCCCTCCCCATCCCTCTCCTCTCCCTTCACGCGTCTAGCCAACCCCGCAATCTCCCCATCATAAACATTCCACTCGGGCACCTGCCTCCTCGCCCTCTCCAACTTCGGCTCCTTAGTCTGCGGATTATTACAAAGATCAATCGTCTTCGCCTTGTGCAAATCCTCATCAGCGCACCAAGTCTCGCACCACAGCCACTCTTGTGGTAAACTGTGGATGGGGAGGTTGAACTGCATGTTATTGGGCAGATCTTGGTCGAGGTTAGAGAGGGAATTGGGGTCCGCGGAGAGGGCGTGGTATTGCTGGCGAAGGCGGTCGCCGGCGGCGAGTTGGCGGAAGCGGACTAAGTCTACGACGTACAACGCGGAGATATGGTAGGGGCGACCACGCAGGAAGTTAGCCCAGTAACCTGTTTTCCAGAAACGGAAGCCTTCCATTTCTGTGCGCGAGTCGCCCATGGGTGTGAAGCCGTAAGGGGCGCCTTCTAGGTCGTGTTGCACGAGTTCGTACATGTCTGTTCGCACGATTTGGTCGGCGTCGACGAAGATGACTTTTTCGAGGTCGAGCGGGAAGAGGACGTCTAGGAAGAGGATTTTGTAGCCCCAGATCTCGCGCTGCTTTTCGGTTTGGCCCCGCAGCCAGTGCGGCCATTTGTAGGTGACCATTTCGTATTCGAAACCGTATTCGGCGGCGATGTGCGGGAGGAAGGATTTGAAGCTGGGGGACAGGAATTGCTCGATGAACCAGAATTTGACGGTGTGTTTGGTGTGCTTCATGACAGATACCATCATGATGTTCAGCATGCGCTCGTATAAGTGGCCTGAAGCGACAGAGAAGATGTTGATATCTGCCTGCGTGCCCTTCTTCGCCGCTTTGCCTCCGGAGAACAGGTCAGCGCCCTTCTGCAGGACCTTCTCGGAGTCGAAGTTGAGACCAATCTTGCCGAGGAACTTGTTGACCTTCTGCGCGCTCTTGCCAACCAGCTCAGAGGCGAGTGACTCTTCAGGAGCGAGCACATCAGTCTCTTCCTGACCTGGCTTTCGCGATAGTCGAGGGAATATTGTCGCTCCTTGGAAGCTCATGAGAGCAATCTCGGTAGTCTCGTCACCAGGCACGGGTGCCCAACTGATAGGACCTGCACTATCTAGGCTAAAGACTTCCTGAGAGCGACCGCTCTTCAGCTGGATGTTGTAAAAGCCGGGAGTAGCCTTGAACTGGAAGTAGCCGAGATTAGCCATGATGATAGTATCCGCGAAATGAGGATCCCGCTCAGTAGCAAGAACAACTTCAGCACCACGCGGCGGCTGACCACCATTCGTAGTGTCACGAGAGTGGCCCTCGATAAGGATGTTCTCCAACTCATAGACAGCGGTGACATCGGCACCAGCAGGAATGGTACTAAGCTTGATGTTGTCGAGATCATAGACAGACTCTTTCGGAGCAACTAGCCAAGAGGGTGGCACATCCATGCCAAGGTTCAGCAAAGCCTCCTTGGGAATGCCATAGAAGTGGGTTCCAAGGCTTCCGATGGATCCATCGGCGACAAAGGATGGCCGAGCTTCGAGGACGTATCTGTAGAAACGCTTGACAGGAAGCTCTTGAAGCATCTGCTTGGGGTTGAGGAAAAGCTTGAGGTGTGTGCCCTCCATATCGCTGAGTACTTTAAGGATTGGTACCCACTTCTGTGCGAGCTCTGTCGCGGGGTCAATTGAGGCCACGATCTGGAAGACAGCGTTGTCTTCGTCACCCCGGAAGATAGCGGTGTGCTTGGCAGTCCAGTTGTTGTAAGTGCTCATCCTCAGGGTTGATGCAGTCTCGAAAATGCCTTCTGGAACGTCCGACACGGTGGAAAGTGTGACCAGCGACTGGATCTTCGCAACATCTATAGGAGATGCGATCTTTTCCATGAGGTCAAGATCGGCAAGTGCTTTGTTCAACGGCTCAACGCGTTTGACCTGCTCATAAGTGACGAAAGTCTCCACGTCATCGTATGAGAATCCGTAGTCTTCTGGGATGGGTCCCACGTAGCGTCCGTTGACGAGCATGCCGTTCTGTCCCGGCTTCAGACCGAACGCGTCGTAGATCGGCTCCGCAACCTTCCAGAATAGAGTGGAGTCGGCGGGAGTTGGTCTGTAGTTGGTATCCCGGTTCATGATCTCGGAGAGGGCTTCGCTTGTAAGCTTACGGTCAGACTTGATGTAAGTCTCTAGAAGATCTTCTGAGGCGTTCGACTGCTCCGCACCGGCTTTCGGGTTGTGTATCAGGACAGCCTCTACGTTGGGGTTTGCCTCACGGAAATCTGCCAGTGCTTTGAGAAGAGCAAAACCAGCCTCCGAGTCGAAATCCGCCACGAGCGTAACGTGAATCCAGTCACTCTTGCTAGCAGACCCCGATGCTTGGATCCGCGGCATCTTGTTATAAGCCTCGCCATGGGTCTCTTCAAATTCAGCCATATTGATGAGCGTAATGTTCTTCTCGTTCTCCGGGATGACGAGAGGATTGCGCTTAGCAGCAGCTGAGGCCAAGAAATGTTGCGGGACCCAACTATCGCTGTTGAAATTACCGTTGAAGACTGCTTGCTGAATCTGACGAAGATCCATGCCGACTCTTTGGCTGAGTGTTCCGAGCCATTCTTCAGTTGCGGGAATGGGGACGCCATTGACGAAGACTGGGGCTTTTGGGCCTTCTGCTGCTAGACGCTTCAGGTACTGTTTGGCACCTGTGATGCGCTGATCTAACGTCTCTGACTTCAGGACGTCATCAAACGCCAGAGCCTCCATTCCTTCGAGGAGCGCGGTTTTCTTGACTGTCGCGTGGAAAGTGGCTTGGTCTGCATGCGCCAGCTTCTTGCCATCTGCCAACTGAACTCCATGTCAGCGCAACATCGACTTCACAAGAGATTTCAACACTTACTACTTGGAGGTATTCGATCACAGCAGGTAGTCCGTACGCGTCATGCAAATAGTAAACTACCTTGGCCTGCTCAAGAGCACCAGATGTAGCGGTCTGAGGAACGATACCCCAGCGCAGTGGAATACCACGCCTGATAAGACTGAGGGTAGTCTCAAGCATGGTCGTGACATCCTCGGATGAAGTCAAGTCGACAGCGACGATGGCGTTGTGAATGTCTCTGCGACACGATGGCAGCTGACCAGGATACGTTCTTTGCAGTAACTGTAGTTATGGTTAGCTCGCGATCGATGATATGGATAATCGTACGCACAGCCCTGAGTTCACTTGGCCACCCTTCGTACATCGGGTCGTTTTCGATGTCGTTTAGCCACAAGATGACGTTGCCGCCTTCGGTAGCATCTCTGAAATCGTAACGTTGGGGTTCAGCATCCGTCTGAGTCTGGGCGATGGAATCATGCGACAATAGCGAGATGACTTCAGAACCGCTTAGACCCTGACTGCGTATCCCGTTGATCAATTTACGTTCACGTCGCAGATGTGCTAACAGCGAGAAGGGGTTCACATCGCGGGCTGGGATCTGTACGCCGTTGATCCAGATGACATTGTACCCGGTAGGGAGGAGTTGCTCGCGGTTCTTCAGATGTTCTTCCAGGAAGTCTTCCGACGCGTTGTGGGCTGCGATGATGGACGAGTATTTCGGAAAGTCTTGCACGAGCTTCATGAGGGTATCCATGGGTTGTTCGCTTTGTGTTACAAAGCTGGCAGCCTTCAGCCCTAAATCCGATACCTCGTCCTTGGACAAGGGCTTGAGGTCTGCGACGTCTTCATCGTCGTCTAGGCC